AAAAAAAAAAAAAAAAAAAAATTTAAATTTGAATTTATGATCGTATGGGTTTGTTAGCTCGTTGACTTATTTCTTTGTCTAAAATATCTAATTTGTTGCAGTGAACATAGTTTATTGGCAAAAGTAAGCTGCCAAACTTACAGGAAGCTGTCTCACTGTTGCTTCTAAATATAAATGTCTACTCTTGCAATTCCCATTGTATGGAAAGAGATTAACATTTTTTTATTGTTTTGTTTTACAGTGCCTCAGAGACACGATCCCCCCCAGAAGGAGACACGACCCTTTTTTTGTCTCGCCTCAACACCATTTGGAAAGGATTTATTAACATGCAGAGTGTAGCCAAATTTGTCACTAAGGCGTATCCTGTCTCTGGGTGTTTCGATTATCTCAGTGAGGTTAGAACCATAGGGGTGCGTGTGCGTGTGGGTGTGCATCTGTGTGTGTCCTCAGAGTTTCTGTACAACAGTGAAGCACCTGACTCTTAGCTAGGTGTGTCCTGTTATGTTGGCACCTCTCAAGGTGAAGAAGTAACTGAGGTGAGGCAGGAGGTAAAGCAGTGTGGCAGGAATAGGGGCAGAAGTTTGAGGCTTTACCTAATGAGTGTGTGCTAAGCATCACCAGCTGTGTGTAATGTGCCTTAGAGTGGTTGGCATGTTTAACACCTTCACAGATCTTCTATTTTTCAAAAGGGGTATAAAGTGGCTCCATGTGATCTTAGCCAACAGTAGCTGCTCAGTCCACCTGACTAATGCTTGAATCATTACTGTGTATCCATAAAGTAGAACATAAAACCTTGAAGCAGTAGCTTCTGAATGTGATCCCATTGGGCACAGGTGGTTATCCTACCACCTTTGTGTTTGGAAACTCCTAATCCTCAATGATAATTAATTAACCAGTCAACATTTAATACAATTATACCCATTTCCCCTGAATTAGTTGTGATTTTCTTCAGATTTGGCTGGCTTTGTACCTTAAAATTTTCCTGTTATTCCCTCTGTAAATATCACAGTTTTCTGGTCATTCATTCCGAGTGCTTCCTGTGTAGGACTTGCCGGATACAATTCACATCGGTGGGAGGATTGCTCCGAAGACAGTGTGGGATTACGTCGGCAAGCTCAAGTCTTCCGTGTCCAAGGTATCTGCGGCTGTAGTGCCATGTCTGCTAGTGGCAGAGAGTGTTTCAATCTGTCTTTTTATAATCTGTCTTTTTAATGGGCTAACACTAAACTATCACCTTGTAACTTGGTACACACTTAGAATGTTTTATTTAATAGATATTCTACTTTAGGGTGAGTAATACTGTACAGTGATAGGAGTTTCCATTTCCTGTAATATGTGTACAGTTAGTAAGAAAGGCATGCACTGTGTCTCACTTTCTCATGACAGCAGAAAGAGAAGGGGGAGTGTGTGGGTGTGTGGATTGGCTGGTACCCTGATGGCTTGAGCCAGCTTTGGTTTTCTTGGAACCCAGAGAATAAGCCATGGCTATGGGTGACAAGTGTGTGGTTTTCTCCTGGGGAGCCTGTCATTTCCATCAGGCTCCCTGGAGGGACTGATGCTCCCACGTAGATCTACCCTCCCATAAGGAGATGCCCAGATACCTTTGCAGGTCCCGAGGCCCATTTGTCATAGTCTCTGTGTGGAGGTAAAGCTTGCTCTGCGTTGTACACTCCTGGCTGTCCCTGCTACAAGAGTCCTGTGAGATTGAGGTTGAGGGGCAGGAATTTAAAGAGCTCCTGGTGCTGCAAGTGAGTTCTCATTCATTCTGGCAGTCTGAAGCTTGAGGCTTTGTTTTCCCACCCTCAACCAGGGGACTGAGAAAATCACAGTCAGAATTGCTAAAGCCTCCCACTTTGCGTTCTGCATTTGAAATTTAGGCATAGCCTTTAATGGATGCTTGTACTGGGGCAGCCCTGGTGAAGGCTCTACCCTGTGCTCTGTCTTACAGGAGCTCTGTCTGATACGTTTTCACCCGGCGACAGAGGAGGAAGAGGTTGCCTACATTTCTCTCTACTCCTATTTTAGCAGCCGCGGCCGCTTTGGGGTTGTAGCTAATAACAACAGGCATGTCAAGGACCTCTACTTGATTCCACTGAGTGCTAAGGACCCTGTGCCATCTAAACTCTTGCCTTTTGAGGGACCAGGTAAGTGTCCACCTTCTGGGAGGTCATTAGGCACATCTGGTCCCTAATATCCTCCCCACTGACATAAAGTCCTGCTGAGATCTCACAAAGTAGACCTCCTGCCTCTGCCAAACCTGAACATCCAAGGAGGCAGAATTTGGAGCATGCAGGAAGCAATGTATAACAGGAGATCCCATCCTCTGTGATGTGGAGACATAGTTGTAGAAGTACAACAATCAGTGCAAATTTTGTTTCAGAAGTTTTAGGAAGAAGGGAAAAGCTGATTGCTCCCGTTGAGTCTCAGATCTGTGGTCCTTTCTCATCTCCAGCAGGTGAGAAGCAGCCTGGGGGAGAGGAACCGTGCTGCTCACCTGGCGACTGGCCCACCCTGCTGTCCAGGCGGCTCATTGGCTCCTGCCCAGCTGGGAGTGAGTGGGGCTCAGTGCATGCCTGCTTCCTGCTGCAGGTCCTCTCACAGGAATTGATTCCTGGGGACAGGAAACATAGTGATGTCAAAAAGCACTACTTTAAAGAATTATGTTGAAAGCCACAGCTAAAGTTTTCATAAGTTCTTGCATCTTTGGCACTTAGTGTTTGCTCTTTCTTTAGAAAGTAACATGTTTAAAGAGTTATTTGTTTACTTTTTGTTTTTTGGTACTGGGGATCAAACTTGGGACCTTGCACTTGCAAGGCAGGCAACAGAACTACTGAGCTAAATCCCTGGCCCAAAAGAGTTATTTGTGAATTAACCAAGAAAGAAATGTAGAATTCTCATTTGAGGTGATTCCAAGATAGTTCTGTTGTGCAGCTCTTCACAACCCCCGTGGAGGACGTTGATGTGACTCCAGTAGGGAATTGGAGCTTGGTGCCTGAATGTGTGTCTGCTGGGCCATGGCGTCCTCAGAGAATTGGTCTTCCCGCAGAGCTGGTGTGTCTTTCATATGCTGAGTGCACTTTGAAGTGCTCTACGGTAGTGACATCTACTAAACGCCGGGAGTGTTCAGGTGCAGCATAGACCTGGCACTTTGGTGCCTTGATTCGTAACACCAAGCCTCAGCAAAAGCTCCTGCTGAAGCCACGTAGAGAAAGCTGTCAGAACCCCACATGCCACTGATGCTTCCCCTAAGCAAGCTATCATCCTGTGGGAGTGAGAACTCGTCACCCCAGTCACAGGCCTGGACCTAACTGGAGCTGTCATTACTGCCAGTCCTGGGCTCACCTGGGCCCTGCTCTTCGGAGTTACGTGCCCCAGAGGTGTTGGTTGGTGTCCATAGTTGTAAGGTTAAATATTCAGTGACACAACAAATTATGTTATTTTAATACCAACATAAGCACATTTTGGAAGTGCTTCGGGATGCCCTTTCAAATCTAACCTGGATATAAAGATGCTACCTGATGGGTCCCTGGAAGTGTGTGTTGGCAGCCATAGGAAGAGTGCTGCCCAGAATCTGCGTGACCAGGGGCAGGAGAGGTGCAGTGGCCTGCAGGTGAAGATGCGGAGCAGACCCACATACACTGAGGAGCGTCTGGTCAGTTGTAAGTGAGTAAGCAAGTGTCACATACGGTTCCCCATAACAGAGACTCCATACGTGCCGTAATAAGCACCTCTCTTTTGGGTGGAAAGAGCACTTTTTCTTAGGAAACTATGAGTTAGATCCTGAGCCTCCCTATGCTAAAGATTAAAGCAGCATTTTCATCCTTGTTTAAGCTCCTCAGTTTGCAGTCTCCAGCCAGAGGAGAAACGGTTGCCAAGGGCGTTGCGAATGCCTGGAGTGGGTGCAGTTGTGGCCACTCATTGGCTCCTGTCAAGCACAATTGAAAGAGGCTCTCAGTAGAGGACAGTGAAAAGGTAGGAGGCCACCAGAGGAGTAGCGCCTCCATCGTGAAACTGTCCATCACGCAAGTGCTGTGCTGCTGCACAGCCAGTGGGCACAGGGAAAGAGCCACGGTGCTCTTGAGGTGGTTGGGGTTAGGTGGGGCAGGGTTTACCGCATCCACTAAGTGTGATTGGTGCCAATCACCCAGATTCACACTTAGTGACAACCAGTAGGTGTCACACTCACCACCACAGCACCTCTTGAAACCGTGACCCTACCTGAAGGGGACACTAAAAGGACAGATTTCCATCTACAATAAACAGCAATTTTGTTTTATTAAAATAGGAAGGAGGAATTTTAGAAAGGTAATGACATATTGCCACAAACTTGGAAAGATTTTTTTTTCAACTTGAGGACTTCACTGTTATTATTTTATTCTTTATTATTATTATTATTATTCTTTCTGCACCACTGTGGACATGAAAATGTGTGTGTAGTATTTACACACAGGCGGTAGGTGAACTTAAGGCTGGGATACCCTACACATGGATGACTTGGTGTTTTCTAGATAATAGTGTGTGTGTACTCATTTGTGTGTTTGTGTATGTGTGTGTGTATCTGAGCTGGAGCCTTTCTCCCAACTCAGTGTCTTGTCCTCTTAGAGTCTAGTCTCAGCAGAATACTTTGGATAGCTCAGGCCCTGTCAGAAGGTGGTGGCCATGTCCCCTCTGCATTCCCTTGGTGCTAAGCAACTGCCACATGGCAAGCCAGGGTCTTTGCACTGCCCATGGTGTCACTTGCTCCCAGTGTACTCTTAGAAGCAGAAGGACTGGGCTATGCACAGTTCCCATCCACCTAAAGCTTTGCCCTCAATGCTAAGGTTGCTGCCCTCTCTGTTCTGTGAGGTGTAAGAAGCACAAGTCTAAAGGCCATGTAGCATGCCAGGCTGGAGCCTGCAGTTTGTGGCAGGGACTGGTGTGAGTCAGTCCAGTGGAGAGCATACTCAAAAGGCCATGATGTGGGTAGAGAGGTCGCCCACACTCATCTATGTGCTTCAGGGCCAAAACAGGTTCTGACGGCACAGGATCCTCACAAGCTTCATTGTTTACATTGGAGAAGTCAACCAAGACCCCGCAGGTGCCCAGGCAGTGTCCTCGGGGAATAACCAAGTTGGCCTGCCCATTGGCTCACACTTGATTCTCACACTGTCACAATCATGGCTGTGTAGATCTGCTCCCACATAGGGCTCATAAGCCACACATTCACAGACGGTTCACACATGGTTCAGAGCAGATCCAGAGCCTGCAGAGTGCCTCTTGAAATCTTTGTCTCTGGATTTCAGCGATCTCGCCACAAAAATGGGGTGATCTTGTTCTGTGAGACAGTGACAACTTTAGTTAAATGTCATCATCATTTCAGAAGACAGCAGGAAAGCCTGGGTCCCTGTTGTCCAGATGTGGGTCCTCTCCACTTAGACCTCAGTAGAGCTGGACTTCAGAGCCAATGACAGGGTCTGTGCGGCCCAGACAGCGCTGAGCCTGAAGCTGAGATGCCCTCCTGGCACTCACCAGGGCCCATGTGGCCTACTTTGAGAGAACCAGTGGGACTTGGTCTTGATATGCGCACCTGCTGAGCTGCCCAGGTTACAAGTAGAAGTGCAGTCTCCCTGCTACACACCACCCTCCTTGGGCACTCTTAAGAGAAAGAGCCCTGATCTCTGACTTTCTTCAAGAATGCACCCTTGGAAAAGTGTCAGAGTCTCTAGTGCCTTTTTGTGTTCACTTTTTAACTGCTTCTTAATTAGCTGGAAAGTACTGAGTCTTCACATATTGACAGGTAAGCACTTCTTCGTTTTTCATGTGTTTGTATCAGTAGTTTTGCCCAGAAATTGTAATCAAAGACAGAATATAGTATTGAATGAAATGTACTAATTACTCACTCTAAATAAAAATGTTACATGGAAACTGGTCACCGTTTGTTTGACTTGCACCACTCCGTAGTCCCTGGCCACCTGACATAGGTTTACCTTTGCTTTTTGGAAGCCAGGGTGACTGCTTCTGGTAGTACAGAGGGATGTGGGCTGGCCTGCTGCAGGCGTCTCCTGCACTGGGCACCTGGAAGGACATTGCCCTTCTACCTGAAACACACTGGGCCGGTGGCTTTTCACAAGCCTTAGGGATTCAAAATGGAAAAGAGGGAGGGTTCTGGGGTGTGCCTGGTGTGTGCCTGGTACCCTGGAGAAAGTAGTGCCCCTCCCCCGTGTTCACCAAATCTCTGTCCAAGTCATATTTATTGTTTATTAACATCCACATAGTTTCTATTCCAGCAAGTATAAATGTTTTCTTTTGGTAACCCTTAAGAGGGTTACCATCTTAATGAATAGTTCTGTGTGATACATGGGGATTCACACAGTGCCACTGCCCGGTGTCTGTAGAAACTGGACCTTCTTTTCTGGCCACATCATGCCCTCAGTTTATTGCTGACTTATCTAGATATAGGTCCTAGTTTGGGTCCTGTCCCAGGAGATTAATTGGCACACACCTTTCCAGTTACACCACTTGTCCCTGGTTTCTCTGTTCCTTGTTTGTTTAGTCTAAGACCTCTGGGACTAGACCCTTACACCCTGCAAACTCAAGGGTGATGTGTGATGCTTAATGGGCTCATTTGCATACATATGCTACACTATGTATGCTACATTCTGAAGGAAAACGGGTCCTTAGTGCATCTGTATCCCCTGTGGAAATGGAGGAGGGTACATGTTAACTGCAGATGCTACTTCGGTATCACAACACCTAGTTGCTTCTTTTTACCTACTGTGTTACTTGAAAACTTCACAACAGCCCTCAAGAGGAAAGTCAGTAAGAGTGCTGTGGCCAGTGTTGGTCCTTGGTGCCTGTATCCCACACTCCCATTCTCCACTGCAGCTGGTGAGGCCACTATTTCTCAGGATACACTGCTTGCTTTTGGAGTTGGCTCTCTTCCTGTGGCAGCTGTCTAAGTGGGGCAAGCCAGTAAAATGAGCCCTGAAAACCATGGGCCTCTACTGCCCTCTCCCAGGTATAGGGCACAGCTGGACAGACAGGTGACCTTCTGACCTGGTTTGACATTTTCCTGCCTGACCCTTTTCTTAAGGCAGTGTGAAACATCTTTAAATTTGAGACATATACTTCCTTCTCTCCCTGAAGATGCTACCAAGATTATCAATATTTCTTAAATAGAGGGTGCTTGCTTATTTCAGAGATTGCTGCATCAGCCCACAGTGGCATCAATACCTGAGTCAAGTGGTGAGAGTGTCCTTCAAAATTGGGGTGTCTGTCATGGGACAGCTTAGTTTGAATTCAGAATCTTGGGGAAGGTTAGTGGGAAATTCAAGGCACACTGGCCTATCTAAGCTTGATAGCCACACTGTGGATAGGATGGTCAAGAGGTGACAGCATTTCAGAAGACTGGCTGCTGGTTGGTACCAAACTCCAGACATCTACATTGCCCAATACCAGTATAAGTGTGAAGTAATGTAACAGTCGTCCTACTATGAGGGCCATGACAACAGGTCAGGGTCTAGAGAATTTTCCTGGCCTAGGACTCTGTAGTTCGTCCAAGAAACAAACTGTGGTTATAGAGGAGCACTCCACAAGGGCAGAGCCCACTCGGTCTCAGAGCGGGGACTTGATTTGTACCCGAAGCTCTGATAAAAGCCTTTGAGTGGAGCTTGTCAAGTAGTGAGGCAGCACACTCCATCAGAGCAAATGTCTGGCACTAATCTGTCCTGGGCTTCCTGGGGCCTGAGCCTCCACCTCTTGCTGTCTATTGTTCCTCCCCTACTGCCTCAGCCTGCAGAACCTGTCGGTCTTCCATTCCTGCTGTCAGATTCTACAGAGCTGGCTTCCCTTAGAATCTCATCTTGAGGCCCTACATTTTTTTTTTAATTTTAAATTGAATTTATTGGTACGTTCTAGGTAGACAGTACAGTTACATTCATTATTGGGATCTTGTACCTTTACACGACAGGTCTCGGTTCTCATTTTTTCCCCTTGTCCCCACCCTCCCTTCACCCCTTCCTCCCCTCCCCACCTTCAAATACTTTAATTCCATATTTACACTTTCTCATATTTTTTTCCTTTTCCTTTATTCCCCTTTCCCTACACCTTTGGTCCTTTTCTTCCTATTTCACATTGCTAATTGTCCCGTTAGGATCTTGAGTACTATTTTAGTTTTTCACACCAGAGAAACTATTTGGTATTTGCATATGTGTGACTTATTTATTTTACTTAGGAGTATATCCTCAAAATGTGCCCATTTACCTATGAATGAATCTACTTTCTCATTTGAGGCCCTAAATTTTAATTGTTCAGCACTCCACCTCCTCTGCAAGCCCTGTGGTCAATTTAAACCTTTGTTCCAGAAAGACCATAATGGCCCATTTAACAACTGAACATACCCCAGAACTATAGAATTGAAGAAAGCAGTAAGTAAGTAGCTGTTAGTGAAAGATAGTGTTTTAAGTTAAAATACCCTCCATTCATGGTTGTTAGAAAATAAACTTGATATTTCGCATTTGCTGTGTGAAAAAATCTGGATGTGATGTTTAGTGTGGTGTGCCTATCCGAGTTCTGTGGCACCTCTGTCAGCTTTTCCTCAGATGCACTATGCCATTTTTCAAGTGAAAGGACCCTGGGAAGGTCCTTGCTTATGTGAGAAGGCCTCATCTCAGTTCTTGCACTCCAGCCCAGGAAGGAACAGGCCCTTGGGAGACCTTGAAGGAGGCTGAGCAAGCTGCTGGGTGCACACGGGTGGGGGCAGGTCCATCTGGCAGCCTGGATTTCCTCTGAAGGGGTGAGAGAGGATGGACCCCATTGTGTGCTCATGAGTATCTTCCTGGGATTAGGAAGATTGGACACACAGTTACAACTACATAATAGTATCCAAGGACGGCTATTTGAAATGATTAAAAATCACAAAAGGAAGAAAATCCTTAGTATTGGTTTTTTTGTTATTTTTTTTGTTTGTTTGTTTTGAGACAGGATCTTGTTATGTATGCCAGCCTGACCTCCTGCCTCAGCCTCTGAGTGCTGGGATTACAGGCTTGTGCTACCATGATCGACTTTTAGTGTTGGTTTTAATTATAAAGAAAAAATACTATGAATACTTCTATCGTGGTAGTGTTCAATTACCTGAACGTTGAATTGTAGATGTGCTCATGTTATTGAAACACATTCTGTCCCTTCTGTATTTTCCCTATATTTGTTTTTGATGACTTGGATATTTCGTCCCTCTTTTGGTATTGGTTTATTTATGAGTATGGGATGGATCATTACGGCAAGATGAATACTGCTGATCTACGTTACTGTGACCTAGAATGTTTGGAGTAGTCCTATTTCAAGTACTAAGTACCTTTACTAAACTGCTCTGGACGTCCCCATGTTTACTCCCTGCCACCAATTCTGATGTCTTGGTGTTTCAAGTAAGCCTAGTTCTCTGTATTTAGGAAGATTTGGGCATCGGGTAGTTCTTTGTAAGTCAGTGCTCACTGAATTTTGTTCTTAACCTAAATTAGCCATTTCAGACAGCTTCATTTTTGCCATTAATTATAATTCTTTTTTTTTTCTGAACAGCTTTTACTTAGTAGTGTCTTTAGCTCTGCTTGTGTGTTGTGAGTAATGAATTAAAGACAAAAGTGGTTGTTTACCACCTGGTACCTACCAAGGGGCAAATAAAGAGTCCTGGTCAACTTTTGTTTAAAATGTCCCAGTACAGGCCGGGCGTGGTAGCGCATGCCTGTAATCCCAGCACTCGGGAGGCTGAGGCAGGAGGATCACTGAGTTCGAGACCAGCCTGGACTACATAGTTCCAGGTCGGTCTCAACTAGATAGTGAGACCCTGTCTCAAAAAAAAAAAAGAAAGTCCCAGTACAGGGCTGGGGGTGTAGCTGAGTGGAACAGTGTTTGCCTTGTACATGGGAGGTTCTGGGTTCAATTCTCAGTACTGCAAGAAATAAAATTAAAACTCCTAGTCATCCTTGTAATCTCTGTAAACAGTGACCGTGTTTGCACATGGGCTTCCCTGTCCTTTGAACTACTGTATTAGAATTATACACTTAAAAATATGGAACGTAATCCCTGATGATGGGATGAATTTACTCAAGAATTATGTCCTTGTGATAAGGGGGTGCATCTTGCCTGCTCTCAGGACCAGGCAGATGTGCAGGTAGGTTCAGGACTGCAGTCACTGGGTCTTCTCAATCATGATTTTATTTTGCCCCAGAATCTCTTCATCTATCATTCCCCATGAGACCCTTTTATAAAATTTATGTGTGAAGGATGAAAATTGAATTTAGATTCTAAAACTTTACAAATATTTTGTTTTTTAGGGCTTGAGTCACCACGTCCAAATATAATCCTTGGGTTAGTGATCTGTCAAAAAATAAAACGGCCTTCAAATGCTGGAGACGTGGAAAAGACAGAGGAGAAGCGGGCCCGACTTCAACAGGAAGAAACGGATGTTCCAGGCTATCCCAAAGTCACGGCAGCCTCACAGTCCGAGAGGAAGCCCTCCAAGTGCCAGCTGTACTCTGCAGACATAGCTGTGGGCACCACACCCCCCGGGTCTCCTCCACCCCCACCCCCTCTGCCCGAGCCCCCAGTGTTGAAGGCATTGTCCTCACTCACACCAGTGACCACCAGCAGTGTTGCTGTGCCTACCTCAACAGCAGCAGTTAGCACAGCAGCTCCAGCTTCTGTTTCACCCGTCACTTCGTCAGCCTCCAAAACAGCCACCCCATTGGAACACATTTTGCAGACTCTCTTTGGAAAGAAGAAGGCATTTGAACCCCGTGCCAAAGACTCTGCTGGACCACCTTTGGCCTCACAGCAGGATTACAAAATCAAGGGTGAGGAAGGCGTGTCAGCTGCTCCTTTATTAGATCCCATTGTTCAGCAGTTTGGTCAGCTCTCAAAAGATAAGGCTCTGGAAGAAGAGGAAGACGACAGGCCCTATGACCCTGAAGAAGAATACGACCCAGAGAGAGCCTTTGACGCGCCACTTCCTGAGACAGGGATGTGTCATGATGGGGAAAAGGCTCCAGACGTGGCCGAAAGGGAAGAGGTGGCCTACGACCCTGAAGATGAGACGATTTTAGAGGAAGCCAAGGTGACCATTGATGACCTGCCCAACAGGATGTGTGCAGACATGAGGAGCAGCTCCGCGGAGAGGCCTACAGAGTATACCACTGATGTCTCCACTCCCTCTTTGGTTGAGCAGCAGAAAATGCTGGAGGAACTAAACAAACAAATTGAGGAACAGAAGAGGCAGCTCGAGGAACAAGAAGAAGCTCTTAGGCAGCAGAGAGCTGCTGTGGGAGTTTCCATGGCACACTTCTCCGTGTCAGACGCATTGATGTCACCACCTCCGAAGTCGTCACTGGCCAAGGCAGAACTTTTCCCCCAGGAGCAGCAGGTCCCAGACCAGAATCAGGGAGTCCCAGGGACAAGCCAAAGCTCAGACTCAAGGCAGAATAGAGACCCCAGGCAGGCCAGACGCCTAGCAGAGAGCGGTGAGAATGAGCCACTCTCTAGGACTCCAGCAGGCAGTGTTACAGGAGTACAGGGTCCCCTGCCTTCAAGGGAGGCTCCTTGTGGGGCCACAGCAGTCCAGGTGCCTATAGCAGCCCAGGAATCAAAGCAGTTGGGGACGGCTCCTTGGGGTGCAGGTGAAAAGACTGCCCTGATGTCCAAGCAGGATAGCCAGGGATGTGAGCACCCTGGAAACCCTGTTCCACAGCCTCTGGAGAACATCCATCCCCCAGCAGCTGGAGACAGCACAGCCAGACCCGCCCGGAGAGTGCTGCTGCCTACGCCTCCAAGCACTGCCTTTCAGCCTGGCTTCACTCTGCAGAATGATGTACAGAATTTTAATCCTGCTGGAGGAAGAGAGCCTTTCTCAGGTCTGGTATTTACATCTCAGGAAAAATCTCTTTGCCCGTCTCTGTATGAGGACCCAAGAAACACTCAATGTGCTGGAAAGAATGACAGCCCAGCCATTGATACAGAGGGTGACAGAGAGCCACTGTCCAGGCCTGGTGAAGGCACAGCCCTGTACTCCCAGGCTGGACAAAAGGGAGGCCTTCAGCCCCAGTTTCCAGGACAGCGTGAATCCGTTCCTCACTCTTTTGGGATGTCTGGATTTCATGGCCCAAATTTCCCAGGACCCAGGGGACCAGTCCCTCATTTTCCAGAAGATAATGTGGTTCCTAACAGTGATGGGCCAAGAGCACCTCCACCTGTGAGATTTGGGGCCCAGAAGGCACCCATCCCTTCCTTATTCTTGGGGCAACATGGGCCACCTTATGGAGACAGTAGGGGTCCCTCAGCCTCTTACCTTGGGCCGAGAGGAGGAGCACCAGCCCAATTTGAAGAACACAAAGATCCCCATGGAGAGAAGAGGGAATTCCAGGACACCCTGTACAGTGAGATGACGGGTGCCTCTGCCCAGTGTGAAGGACCAGAGCAGACTCAGTTCATGGGAAACAGGGGCACTGCACCTTTCCAATTTGGAGGCCAAAGACGGCCTCTCCTGACTCAGCTGAAAGGTTCCCGAGGAGGACCCCCACCTGCCCAGTTTGGCAGCCAGAGAGGACCGCCCCCTGGCCATTTCATAGGCCCCCGAGGGCCCCATCCTAGTCAGTTCGAAAGTACCCGGGGGCCCCATCCCAATCAGTTTGAAGGACCCAGAGGCCAAGCCCCAGGTTTCATGCCAGGTCCCCGGGGCCTTCAGCCTCAGCAGTTTGAAGAGCAGAGGGTAAACTCACCACCTAGGTTTGCAGGTCAGAGGACACCAGCACCTATGCCATTTGGGGGACCAAGGGTCTCTGCACCCTTTTCTGAAAAAAATGAGCAGACACCTCCCGGATTTCACTTTCCAGGCCCATCACCGCAAGCAATGAAGCCATCCCCTAGACCCCTCCTGGAGCTTCCAAGCCACCCCCCACAGCACAGGAAGGACCGATGGGATGAAGCTGGCCCAGCGACAGCCCTGCCTTCTGGTACTTCATCTGGACAGGGCCCTGAGGCTGATGGACAGTGGGCTGTGGGTGCAGACTTCCGAGAGGGCAAAGGCCATGAGTACAGGAATCAGACTTTTGAAGGGAGGCAGAGAGAACGGTTTGAAGCCGGGCCCAAAGAAAAGTCACTGGAGGAGCCAGAAGCCCAAGGGCCAGAAAGTCGGCAGGGCCGGACGTTTGAGGACAGGAGGAGAGATCGAGACCGCGGCAGGAACTGGAGTCGAGAGAGAGACTGGGAGAGGAGCCGAGACTGGGAAAGACACAGAGACAAAGACTGCAGCCGGGAGTGGGACAAAAGCAACGAGAGGAACACAAGCAGGGACAGAGAGCGGCCGGCGGACCGCGCCAAGGAGTGGGACCGGAGTCGGGAGAGAAGCAGAAATCGGGACCGAGACAGAAGGCGAGACCGGGACAGGTCCCGGAGCCGAGACCGAGACCGCGAGAGGGCCCGGGACAGAGAGCGAGGCCGAGATCGTAAGGACCGCAGCAAGAGCAAAGAGAGCACCCGGGACTTGAAGCTGGAGGCCACCAGGGCCTCCGATGCGGGCAGCACTTCTGCTCAGGCCTAGCCGCCACCGTGCCGGGGTGTGGCCAGACGTGCGGGGAGAGGCTTTACGTGGGCCGGTCTCATGGAGACTCAGCCTGCAGAAATCCTTTTAAAAGCCAGGTTCTTAAAACATTGTGCAAAGACTTTTTGAAATAGCCCTGATGAACTTAGATGCCGAAAAGAATATTCTGGACTTAAAATTACTGTAATTTTGTATATACTGGTTTCTTACAAAATTTCACATCTTTATCTTATGCTTTTTTAAAAAAAACAACTTCAGAACTTAGTATTTCCATTTAAAAATTACAGAAATGGGAAAATATCTACAAAAGCATATTGCTTTTTCAGATTATAGTTATCTTTTCCAATAACTTGACTGTTGTAAGTTTTAAGGGAATTTCAGTGGACTTCGAGCCATGCCTTCGCTAGCACCTCTTCTGTTTCCGTGTTTCTGACGCTGTTCCCCAGGGCTGGCCTGGGACAGTGAAGCCACCTGGCCAGTGTCACTGGGTAGGTGAGCTCAGGTCCCTGCCGCAGCTGCGGGAGGAGGCCTTAGTAACTTCTCTGCAGTGTCTGTCGAGAAACCCAAAAGTTATAAATTCACCTTTGCTTCGTTGTGAAGAAATTTGATTTACAAATTTCAATCCAGAGACAAAAATATTTTTCTTAGTTTTGAATTTTTTCAGAATTCAAAGCAACGTCTATCCTAGTAGATATTGTTGCATTTGAAATAATTTATTGAAACAGGTTTCAATTTTACCAGCTTATAGAGGACGAGACAAGTGTACTTTGGTGGGGGCATCCTCTTTGGTGTGCACCATCAGAAACGGTGTCAGGTTCTGCTGGTGAGCAGCTCTGCCGCTCCTGAACGCACACCCACACTTGCTGCCCTGCAGGTGTTATAGCTTGAGTTTGCCACTGGAATGGTCATATTTGTACAGAATCTGAGAGGGACAAGAGATGTATTATTAATTCAAAACAAAATACGTTCTCACTACAGTAGTGTTCTGCTTCCTGTCACATGTTTTCAGGTACTTCTGATATGGACTAGAGAAAGCCTGGTTAACTTATTTGACTGTACAAACATGCTTTGATAATTCTTTTTATATTTTCATAAACTTTGCAGATACAAAATTAGTTTCATTTGTTCTTTGGAGTCTTATTCCATTGTACATCACTACAGATTTTTCACTTTATAGCACAGATTTCTAAGTTGAAAAAACCTTGAGAATTTAGAAATTTGGGGTGTTTGGTATTAGAAATCAAGCACCAGTAAGTTAAATTACAATAAAGTCGGGTCACGTTCCAACATCTAACATGATGGGAAAGTTTTTTTTTTTTTTTTTAACATTATAAGGCAAACTTTTCTAATTTAAGTACACAAATGTAAAAATTGTGTTTCTTTAGGTTTACTTGATAGGAATTTCTGTAAATTGTTATTTTGTATTGCAGAGTGTTATATCGCTGTACATTAAAATACAGGACTTCATAGGTTTTGTTACTTGAAGCAGAATAAATATCTACAGAGAGTTCTTGTCTCAGGTCTTCACTTGGCCTTAGCCCTGAGTTTGTCTGGGTGTGGGCCTGGGCCCCTGGGTCGGTCGCCTCAGAAGACCTGGGTCCTCCTTCCTGCTGGGCCAGTACCCAGCTCTGCACAAAGGGGGCAGTAACACATCTGACCCAGAGTTAGCTAGGGACCCACAGAGAGGCTCCACCTGCAAGTCGGTGAGCTGTCCCAGCAGGAAGATGAGGCTGCCACAGGAGCGCCAAGTCACTAAAGGTGATGTGGTTGGAGCAAGAGGTGATGAGATGGGGGGGTACTGAGCACGTGTCATTTTGGCATTAGTTTCACCCAAAACCAAGCCCTTGACCCCTGGCTTCTGCCCTTTATTTGTCAAAAACACGATCAGGTGGAGTTGGTAGCTCCTGGTGCCTACACACAGGCCTGCCCTTGAGCGCCATCTGCTGGTGACAGGCGAGTGCTCAGCTGCTGGGGAAGCACTTGCGTCCACAAGCCTGCACAGAAAATGTTGGGCTGTTTCATCCCGAGGTTTAGGCTCTGGCTGCCTTTTCCCCAACTGAGCTAACAGCAAATCAGACCTCAAAGCAAGGATAACAGGGAGGGGTTCTTCTGGGGCATAGGTGTCAGCCACCTGCAGACCACTACTGAAGACCCTGAAACTACCTCCATAATGTCCCATCACCTCAGAAAGGCCACATGCCGAATACCAGAGGACCACAAGGGCTCCTTCCTCGCTACCCGGGGAAGGTCGCTCTATAGCCAGCTTCCACATCAGAGAGTTTGTTAAAATACTAGAGCACAATTCTGCTGCCAATATGTGCTTGGCACAGTACCCAGCTACACAACATTGAAGCCATTTTTCACGTGTGGATTGCCTTTGAGTAGTTTCACCCAAATCTCTGGAGAAATACTATGTGCTCCCCTTTAATGCAATCCTTAATGCACACCTGCATTACTGGGTCTCGTTCAGCCCACCCGCAAGTCCTGTGGAAACCCTCTCCCACTGCCAAGCCATCCACACTGCCCCAACCTCCCTCCCAGACCAGTTCTGCTGGCTCCAGCCACCAGCTCCTTCGTCAGATGTCATTCAGCATGTGTGGGTGTGCTACACTGTGCTTGGTCTTCTAGAAATGTGGAGTCCAGCTCCATCCAGCACGCTTCTGGCTGGGATACAGCCAGACCCCCAGCGGCTGTGACTAATTAGTAAAAGGAAACCCAAACCGAGCTGTAAGTTTATACTCCCAACCCTAACCCTAACTTCTAATTTTCTTTTTGCCTTTATAAACGCCTCGTGTTGTGAATATGATGTCTATTTCCAGTTTCCCCTGAGGAGTATGTTTGGTTGTTGTTTTCGTTGCTGGGATTGCACCACCAAGGGCCTTGCCCATGCTAGGCTGCATCCCCAGACCTGTTATTTTGGGAGAGCATCTTTATGGCTTGGAATTTGTGATTCTCTTTCCATACCCTTAGAGTAGGTTTACGCGTGTACACTACCATCTCTGGCTGGTTTCTGAACCCCTGAAGTAGGTATTGGGAGCAAGGGATTTAGCCACGACCACAGGGAGGTCCTGAGGTGACTGTGACAGCTTCATGTGGATGCTGAGGTCTGAGTGGTCCCTGTCCCTTTAAAGGGAGATGGAATGTTTGCCTTTTGTCCTGGGTCACTAGGGATCCCACAGGGAGAGGAGCCACAGCTGGAGCTACGCTGAACGCTGAGGTCTGAGTGGTCCCTGTCCCTTTAAAGGGAGATGGAATGTTTGCCCTTTGTCCTGGGTCACTAGGGAACCCAAAGGGAGAGGAGGGACAGTTGGAGCCAGGCAGAGGAAGAGGTAAGAGGTGAGCTGTGCTCAGGAGTGTGGGCTGTGGGGCCAACATGGTGGAAAAGAAATATTCTGGAAGTGGCTGGAAAGAGGAGTGCTGAGTGTGTGTTCAGACTGGAGCTGCCTGCTACGGTTCCTGGGAGACACAGAGCCTGGAAGAAAGCTTCTGGTATATTTGTGTAAACCCATGTAACACCGAGCAACTTTTCTGTGTGTTACCCATCACCACACTGCACTGTACTTATATTCTCAGCTTCCAAAAGTTAAAGAAGCAAACTTATAAGAATGTGTGCTACTTCATTTATTTCACCTAAGGTCGGGCAAATTTCTCATGCCATTGTGAAGGAAAGGTTTGGCTACCCTGCTTTTCACTGGTTTGACTGCTTGTGTGGGGCGGTGGAGGAGGGGAGACTCCAGGCCTGTGTGCAGAGGTGGGTGGGGCCATGTCATTGGGTCTCAGCTCTGTTCTGAGGCCCGGCCCCTTGTCCTGTGCAGTTTTGAGTGGGTGCTGCCCAAAGAACCACACTCTCCTTTCTGCATAGCACCCTATTCCTGTGGCCTGTGGTACCACCAGTAACCAGCAGTGCCTCAGCCCACTCCCAGCCGTCAGCCTTCCAGTGTGAGGAGACCCCTGAAATATAGTCTGCCAGGCTGAAGCCCAGATGGTGGAATTTGCACACAGAGGCAGACCTGGCAGCAAGGGTTTCATCTGAAGCCATGGCCCAGACCGCTTCTGAGGCAACTTGTAGCCTTTACTGATGCAGACACAGCCGTATCTGTGCCCATGCTGTGGTGGGTCCCCTGGTCTCCCAACTTGTGAACTGGGCCTTCCTTGCAGAAAGGAGGTCCACTATTTGCAAGTTTTCTGCTCTTTCTGGTACATGGGAAGTGGTCACTAGAGTGGTGGTTAGGGAGCAGTCACTGACTTGTAAATCCCGGTCACACTGCAAGGGTCGCTGCAGGCCTGCTGACCCTGTGAGGGTTTTTGGGCTCAGAGACACAGAGCCTTGAAGAAAGTCTCCGGCAGGAGGCTGTTTTGTGTGGGTGCCAGAGAGATACCCAGGCACTGCTGGTGACCTCAGCTTAGGCAACCCCTTGATCTCCCTCCCTAGACTCCCATCCAGCGTGCAGCCTGCGGGACAAGCACTGTCCATGCACGCACCCGGACTGCGGCAGCCTGCCTGATGCTCTCACACGGCACTGTGATGTAACTGGTTTTCCCCACATGGACAGGATTGTGTTCTGCCTGGGAGGTTTCACCTGTTTTCTCTTGAGGTTTTTAAGCACTGTTGTTAGTGAAAGCACCAGGTGGTCAGCTCCTGAGGCTGAGAAAATTTCAGCTCTGGAGTTGTGTGCGTGGGCCTCGTTGTGTCCTCGGCATCTGCTTCTTGGTGTAAAAGGGTTGTCTCCCAAGAGACCCGTCCAGGACGGGGCACAGCCTCCAGGTCTTCAGGGTTGGTGTGGACGGGAGCAGGACTTGTCCATTTTCCCTCTCTCAAACAACTTTTAACATTTGCATTTTACCAGAAATCCGCTTGGAGTTCCAAAAAGTGCTGTTCTAAAGCTACGTGTTTCTGATTAGCGGAAATTTCTCCTTCAGTGTTACAGCTCAGGTCATTAGCTGGCTGGCTGAGGTAAAAGGTGTAAAGGAAGTATATGATCCAGCCCCTTTCTGTTTGGGGAGAGGATGGCCATTATCATAAATGCTGCTGGCAGTCCTGGCTTATGCTTTTCTGAGTTTTAAGATTTTTGAACTCTTACCTGAATGCATCTTGGTGATGCCTGGGGAGTACTTCTGAGGTTTCCGGCGAGTGTGCTGGATAACAGCTCTCAGTACACACGTGTCCATCCTCGTCTCACGCAGCGTCCTTGTGCTCTGCTCTGCAGCCCCCAGGGACCACAGGAGAGTGAAGGACAGAGCGGTGGGAGCAGCCGTGGGCCCAAAGGAAACAGCCCTTCCGGGCTCCTCGGTGGGCAGAGCACCTTCGTCCAGAAGTCTCGTTCCTAAGAAGCCTCGTCCTTTCCCTAACACGACAGGAGCCAAGCTGGCCCTTCAGAAGTCACCCTCAGACTTCAGAGGCCCTGTCCTCGAGGGGACCTGGCTCTGGGACGCCCCAGCAGTCACCTCAGCTGCCAGGCAGGCAGGACCAAAGCCGGTTCCGCTGGCAAGCGATTCCAAGAAGTCACCGTGCTCTGCAGCTCTGATGGGAGCCACGAGGAGACCTGTGGTGACTTCGGCCCCTGGACGCCTCAGGGCTGTGGGTCCTGCCCCGTCACAGCCAGAGTCACAAATTCGGTAAATTATTAGACGCTCCTTGAAGGAGATTCTGAAGAAAAGGTGGGCTGTTCTCCTCCGTCTTGTAATGTGTAGAGGGGAAGATCTTCCCGTCACAGTGTGATTTCAGGGTTGTCCTGCTCTTTACAAACTAACAATCGCAACCATGAGTGATTTATCTGGCCCCCTGTTTTCATTCTGTTCAGAGTTTGTGACAGTGGTGACTTAATCAGGACTGAAAATGAGGCAGGAAAACCTGGCCTCCGCCTTGAGGAGGAGGCGTCTAACTTGTCCCGAGTTACAGACAAACGCCACAGGAGTGAACACCGCAGCGTCTCACTCCAGCTCAAGGACCCTGAAAGTCAGGTGTGTGCATCAGGCGGGAGCCCTCCTGGCGCAGAAGTGATGAGCCGCCTGGTTTCTGCTGGCTGAGATTCACACGAAACAGCAGACACCTCGGGCGAGACGTGTGTGTCCGTTCAGGACCCTTCCCTGTCCTGCCTCCCTGGGTTTCCTGTGTGGATCTCATCGGCCCCTGCTGCTCTCCACTGGATGAGACTTTCAAAAGTAAAAAAAAAAAAAAAGCTTGCATCACTGAAATAAATTCCACTTGCTCTTTAGCTATTACCCTTTTTTTTAAAGTTCTGATTAAATTCAGCTTGCTAAGATGCTATTTTATTTTATATTTTATCTTGTGGTGCCAGAGACTGAACCATGAGATGCTGAGCTACAAACCCAGCAAGCCCTCATCTCCCTAAATCACTCAGGCTGGCCTTGAACTTCTGATCCTCCTGCCTCATCCTGCCAAGTAGCAGGAATTACAGGAATGTGCCACTATGCATGGCT